TTAACTGTAAGCCTTCTTTTCATGACATAAAAGATTGGTAATATGGTATATTTGTATTAAATTTCTCTGAACCTGTAGCTTTTTTTTCTATTTCCTTTGTATAAGACTATAATACTTATTTGTGTCTCTAAATTGAGGTCTCTTTCAACTTTCTGTATTGGATCACTTTAATTTCTGAACATCTTTTTTGTTTGCTTGTTTTTGAGACAGAGTCTTACTATACAGTTCAGATTGGCCTTGAACTCACTTATGTAGCCCAGGTTGACCTCGAACTCACAGTGATCTTCCTGGCTCAGCCTCCTGAGTGTCAGGGTTACAGGCGTATGCCACCACACCTGGTAATTCCTAGACAACATCTTTTTAAATCCATTTTGAAAGCTTATGCTTAGCCCTTATTTTTAATGTTGTATATCTAGTATTTTATACATATTTTAAAATTTATTATTTTCATTTATATTTAACACATAATCTACTATGGCATTACAATTTGTGTCTGATAAAAGGTAAAGGTCAGAGAATTGACAACTTGATCATTTAAATCTTTGACTCAATTATATCGTCACTCAATTTTACTTTCCCACTATATTATAAAAATAAAAATGCACAGAAATAAGTACTTAAAACAATATGTACTCCTAGATCTGGTGGAATTTACACACACACACACACACACACACACACACACACACACACACACCCAAACTTTTGCTGACTGAGTAGCTTTTCTGGGAGAGCACATAATATTGTGAGTTTAAGTTTGTTGCAATTTTTATTATACATTACATTACTTAAATTATTTGCTTTCTTGTTTTAGTATGTTTTGTGCTGTTGCTTCCACAGACTAAACTATAAGCAATGTACTGAATGAATTATAAGCAATAGACAATTATTGGCTCACAATTTTGAAGGCTAGGAAGTCCGACAGCATGGTGCTCACATTCGGGAAGGCTTTCAGCTACCTCACAAAATGGCAGAAAGGCAAGTAAGGACTCCTGAGACAGGAGAAAAATTGGTCTGAACTCACTTTGATATCAAAGCCGCTCTCTTGATAACTAATCCATTCTCACTGTGACAATATTAATCCATTTACAAGGGTAGAGCCCTCATGACCTGATCACCTCTGGAAGGTCCCAACTTTCAAGGTCATTAAAATGACAAATAAATTCCAACACGAGTTGGGGAGGGGACATTAAAATCATAGCACTTTCCCGAGTGTCTTTACTCTTGTCTTCTGAGTGTTATTTTGAATTTTGAGGTCTTCATTTTTGTCTGTACATCACCATTCAATATCCATGACTGGTAAAGCATTTCACAAATAAATCATTTCTTAAAGTAATACTAAGGATAGCTGTTACCATTTCTAAGATACATAGCATGTGTATTATCATTTTCCTGTCATGGAGACTCAATATCTGACCTATGCAACTTCAAGAAGTAGACGTTTATTTCAGGTTACAGTGTTCAGTGGGTTCAGTCCATGCTTTGTAACCTGGCTCCAAAAGAGAAATGAAATGGCAGAAGGGCATGGAGGAGGAAAGCTGCTTACTGCATGGCAGCTAGGAAGCAGAGAGAGAAAGGAGGAATGAAGGACAAGAATACACCCTTCCAGGTCACACCCTTGGTGATCAGCCTCCAACCAGGCCCTGCCTCCTAACAGCACATTCAGCTCTGAGCTCACTTTAGGGATTAATGATCCCATGATCCAGTTATCTTCCAAAGGCCCCACCTCAGAATGTAGGAGGTTTTGGTGGGACATATTAAATACAAATCATATCAGTATCTCCCAGGTGTTATCTGGAGCAAATAAACTGTTATTCATATATTCATACATCAATTATTTTAATACTCACAAAATCCCACATGGTGTAGCTGTTACAGGTTTCAGACAAGAAAACCAAAGTTTTTTTTCCCATTCTCCCATGCTGCTCAATAAAATCAGCTTTAATGAATGTTACAAATCTGTTTGACTCCACAAGAAACTTAGGCCTAGCTCTTTAAGGTGCACTTATTAAGCATAACTGTTTTGGCTTTTGAGTTTATTCAAAACTGAATTGGCTTGTCTAGGTATTTGAAGGCTTCATTGCATTTGAAGGCTTCATTTTGGGATATATATACACACTTAGAAATATATGTGGCACTATATATATATATATACCCTTTAGGTTGTAATAGACATGTGGTCTGGTCTATTTTGTAGCTAGATTAGATTATTACTAATACTATTACTGCATATAGCATGCCCAGGTAGAAAGGATGCCTGCAACTTCCAATTCATCTGCTTAAAGATGAAGCTCTTTTCCTGCACTGTCTATTCTCCTCTTCTATGTTGTGGGCTGGGAATATGAAGGTGGTTAGCTTCTGTCTTGCTGCTAGACAATGTCCATGCTGATGGTCGAGCCACAGATTGAGACTATCTGCTGAGCAACCTTCTGGAACTGAACTGCTTTCCCAACTCTGCGCATCTTTGGACCACCACATGTCAGAAAGGTAAACATTGGATTTAAGGAGTTATATTTTGAAATATAGTATGGAAGTTTAATATATATGTGACTATATTGAAACAATAAGTACACATTTAAATGTACAATAAATGTAACTAATTTAATATATGTAAAATGTAATACATATACAATTTTCAATAGTTGATCTAAAAGGTTTATTTATTGGCTGACCAGAGTGAAATTTAAGTCATCTTTACATTCTCTCCCAGACACAACACAGGTTGTATTTTTCTTGGTAAGAAAGAGGGAAATATCTGGTTTGATTTATGTCTGTAGCACAGACTCCCAGACTCCTTGTCCTCATCTTTGGTCATTTGTCACAGTTCCTGTGCAATATTTCTTATAGATTTCAGCGCAGGCTACAAAGGAAAAAAATTGTAAGTTTGGCTAATGAAGTCTATTACAATATGCAAATATACTTTATGAGCAAAAGGAAATTCTCATAGAGATTGGTGGTAATTGCTAATGCTTTGTTCCTAGAATGAATTTTAATTTAGGGGGTAAATGCAGATTTTGCAATTATATTCTACCATGAGTCATGCTTCTTTCCCTTTATCGCTTCTCTTTTTGCCCAAGTCACCTCTTTACAATTTATATTTGTAGTGCATTACAATTACAGTAAAAACTACAGAAAATTATAAAGTCTGTGCTATACATACCAGAGGTCATAAGCCCATTTTAGCTAAGTGCCAAATAATTAAAACATCAGGAAAGTTTTGAGTAAATCGCATTTATTCCAGAATCAACTAATCAAAATGAATTTGATTGCAGAAAACATGAGAAAAAAAATCATTTAAATGTCCATCACCAGCTGCAAAACATTTTTGAGCTTTTAGAATGTTCTCACAATTTTTGCAAACACTCTTTATTCTGCATATTTTTCTTTAATTTTATACTATGCAAAGGATTACATTTATCTGAAAATAAACGATTCTGCTCAGATTTGCTATAGTTCCCAAATTGTGAAAATGTTAATTTTTGTGTCTGAAGTACACTGCATATAACTATATTCTATGTAGCAAATTATTGGTCAGATATTTGTCTAGCTTTTGCTTAAGCTAATTTGAGCTATGGTTAAATTCTTGTTCAATTATATAAGAAACAAAGGAGGAGTTGTATGGCATTCCAAATGCCCTACTTTTGTGTTCTCATTGCACAAATTTAGAGTTTGGGGAGAGGAGCAATTGACTAGTCAACTAAAATTTATGGAAATAGTAACTTTAGGGTAAATATTCAAAAACAACTGAGCTGACTGATATTTCTGTTTTTATTCATTTATTTTAATCACAGGCTTGTAATAGTCTTTCTTGAAATATATTCTCCCATTAATAGAAATATATATATATATGCATAGAATACTGTCATAATTTGGGGCTTTACAAGGGGAACAATATAATACAGGACACATGTTTTACAAGATTATTTATAATAGTCACTCAAGAGTCATATAGAAAAAGAGAGGGCAGGAAACCACACATTAAAGCCCAAAGAATCCAGCCAAGGGCCTGGATCCTGAAATAATGTCCTGCATGAGTCCAGCTGAAGATGTAGAGCCCATGATAATGCCTCTCATGAATCCACCTGGAGGCCTAGAGCCCGTCTCATGCAGGCCTGTTTCACGCATCTGGGCTGGGAAGGCCCAGCGGTCAGTGGTGGAAGCTAGAAAGTCTGTGCCAGCTGGATGAAGGATCTGTGCTAGCAGGCTGAGGAATTTGAACCGGAGCCAGGAAGCAAGCTCAAGGTAAGCACCGGAGCTTCCCCGAAAAGTACCGCAACAAAAGTGAAGTCCCGAGCTCCTTCTCTGGCGACGACAGCCACGTTCATCAGGAAAGCCAGTGTAACAAGCTCCTCCAGGAAAACCAACAGCTCTCAACAGCTTCCCAACAGCCTCCCTAACAGCCTCTCTTCTTGTTCTCCAGTTCTGCCTCTTATGCTGGAGGCAGCAACCCTCAGTTGGGCACCATGCTAGTTCAGTTTAGCTGGGGGTTATAAGTTGACCACCAGTTGTAAATCCATCACAAATATATATAGATGTGTATGTGTGTGTGTGTGTGTGTGTGTGTGTGTGTGTGTGTATGTGTGTATGTTTATATTTGGATATGAAAGTCTATAGCGAACAAAATCAGGACTCATTTCAGCTACTTTTTTCCTACTTGGTCATTAAAACTCTGAAAAATGGTATTTTTCAAACTAGGATTGAATAAATCCTTGTTGGTAGGTTAAGGAAGAGATTTACAAGTCATAATGAGCATTTTAATGCTCCCTTGTTGATATTAAAAATGTAAACTTGTTCTATGGTACATTGATACATGTCTTCAGATATATTTGTGTTTACAAGGTGTGATTGAAAAATACGGTACTAAAATTTAAGTAAAAATCACATTGTAACTATTCCTCCTCAAAGCACTCACTAGGAAACATTTATCCCATCATTCTCGCCCCTTTCTAAAGCAGTTCTAGAACTTTCTTTTGTGAGAGTCTTTGGTTGCATTGTTCTAGTTACCTCAGTGCCCTGAGTTGATTCAAAACATTTATCTTTTATGGTGATTTTGACTTTGCCAAAGAACCAAAAGGTATGTGGAGCCAGATCTGGTGAATAATGTGGATGAAACACACCCTACTGTTTTTGTGAGACTATCTTTCCATTAACTGGGACTTGGTAGCAGCGTTCGCTCTATTTTTGGTCATACCTTGTAAGGATGTAAAAGAGAACTACTACAAGTGCTTCAGAAAGTGGTACAAACAGTGAAAAGGTATATACGGATTCATAGACCTTTCGAGGTAAGGAGAGGCCCATAGTGAGCATAACACTTAGACCTGTAAGGCAAGACACAACTTCAAAGAAACATGAAGATGATTGTATTCGTATATGTTTATTATAGAATTCAGTTCAACTATGAGTGCCCAATGGACGTTATTAGAGATTAGAGGGAATTGTGAGGCTGAGCTCCTTGGCATGGTTTTTTTTTTTTTTTTTTT